CCCGTCTCCTCCTCCAAACCCGTTTGCCCACTTCTTCCTCCTGCCCTCAAGCCCCTCCCCCCGCCCCCTCCCTCAGAAGAGCCGCTGTCCGGGGCTTTGGGCCATGTGGGGAAACTGAGGCGAGACTGGACAGACCGAATACCCGCGTGGGAGTCCGGCGGGGCTGGCCGGCCGCCTGGAGAGGGCGGAAACAAGGGCGCCTCCGGTGAGGGGGCGGGAAGGAAGCAGGAAACAATTGAGAAACTTTACCCGCCCTGCGCGAGGGGCTGGGGGCGCCCGCCTCGCGTCTCGGGGGTCCCGGAGACTGGGACCGAACCCTCGAGGGCTGTCTTCGCCCCCTGACTCGCGGGGTGGGGCCAGGAGGCGGCCCCTCCTCGCCCGCGCCCTGGGGTGCGGCCCTCCCCCGGATTCCCACGGGGTGGTGCAGGTCTCGGTTTCTCCCTTCTCTCCCCCATTGGGTCCCCAGGACCCAACTGAGCCGAAGCCCCACGTGGCAGTGCCCTGGGGGCGACGGGGGCCTGTCGTTCCCCCTTGTGTGACAGGAACTTCCTGGAAACTGAGACTGAAGGAGGGCCCTGGGGAGGGGGCCGGAAACTGCTCGAAAATAATCAAGAAAAATCAGTGGACTAGAACCGGGTCGCCCTCCCTCCTCTTCTTCCCCCACCCTAGGGACTGTGGCCTCTGGAAACTGCAGGGAGAGCCCGATGGGGGAGGCTGGGACCCTCCTGGCCCTGCCCAACCAAGAAGGAGGCAGCATGACCTGGCCTCCTCCCAGCCACACACACCCCCACCCTCCAGCAGCCCAGGCCCTGGAGGGCCCCTTGGCAGGTCTCACTTTTGGCTCAAGTTCAGACTCTGCGGCTGCTGGTGCTGTGCGTCCCTTGGGTGTGACTGGCTGTCTCTGAGCTGGGAGTCTGGGAATTTGAGCCTGGGGTCCTGACCAGGCCACCCCTCCAGTGGGCGATACCTTGAGGGATCTTTAGTCTCTGCAAGACTTGGCCGGGGTATGTGTGTGTGTGTGGTGGGAGGGTTCTGCTGAAAATGATAGGTGTCAACCAGCCTTGAATTTGGCCAAAGGATGGAGTTGAGGCCCAGATGGGACTCAGCAAACTCCTTCGGGCCGGCCAGGCCCACACACCAGTCCAGTGGCCTCAGCAGGCCACTGTGCTGGGCTCCAGCATTAACACGTATTCATTGAGGTGGGGACAGGCAGGGACTAGACATGGAACATCAAGTGGTAAAACCCTTGACCGCAGGGAGTAGCCAGGGGCCATGTGTTTAATTTTAGGTTGTTTTAAGTTGTGAAGCAAAGAAAAGAACACCGTGTGATGATGAGTGGAAGACACATCTGGAATTATTTTAGGTCGCTGAGGACTGGAAGTTGAGCCAGCCGTGGGAATATTTGGGGGAAATGTGTCCCTCACAGACAGGACAGCAAACAAGCCACATGGTTGCATAATAACTTTTTGCTATGAGGCCGGAGGGGCCACCAGGTGTGACTGCTTGCAGTAGGTGTCTTGCTTAGTTTGTTTTCACGGGAACCAAAAACCTGTGGCCCTGGACTGCCTCATGAAGTTCCCATCAGATAAGGGGGACTTCCTTTGGGGAATGATGTGTAAGTGGCTCATACTTCCTTCCTGCCTGCCCCAGCGTCGGTCATGAATTTACTTTATTTTGGATTTTAAAAATTAATTTAAAGTAGAGATGGAGTCTCGCTATGTTGGCCAGGCTGGTCTCAAACTCCTGGCCTCAAGCAATCCTGCTACCTTGGCCTGCCAAAGTGCTAGAATCAGCCATGAGCCACCCTGCCCAGCCAGTTATGAGTTGAGAGGTTGACATCAGACAGACCCAGGCTCAAATCAGGCTCTGACACTTGGGAGCAGTGTGACCCTGGCTGAGTCAGTGACTTCTCTGAGACTCTGTATCCTTGTCTGTAGAGCTGGGTAGGCCCCACTCACTGACGGGAAGCGTTTTTGCACTGTGTCTGGCAAGCTCTATGTACTCAGAGTCCTCTGGGGCTGGTGATATGAGGATGTGGATTTTCCATGTGCTGATGGAAAAGCCACCTTCTTTGTCAAGGTGTAGACTTGGGCTGGAAAGGACTGGGAAGGGCAGGGAGCTTCTTCCTCAGCAGAGACCATCTAGAGGAAGGTGGCAGCTCCAGGGGAAATGGAGAAATGGCTCTGGGTCACTGCGGATGCCAGCAATGGGCATCACCGTCCTTCCCAGCCCACGCTTGGCAAGAGCAGTGCAGAGAAGGATTCTAGAATTTAGACAATGAACTTTGGCCAGATGGGGGGGAAGCTGCGGGAAAAGTAGTGGTGCTTGTTAAGAAAGCAAATTCTGGCCGGGCTCGGTGGCTCAGCCTGTAATCCCGCACCTTTGGGAGGCTGAGGTGAGTGGATTGCCTGAGCCCGCGGGTTCGAGACCCGCCTGGGCTACTTGGTGAGACCTCATCCCTACAATAAATCAAAAAATAATCCGGGCTCGGTGGCTCAGCCTGTAATTCCATGCCTTTGGGAGGCTGAGGTAAGTGGATTGTCTGAGCCTGCAGGTTCGAGATCCGCCTGGGCAGTGAGACCTCATCTCTATAATAAATCAAAAAATCAGCCAGGCGTGGTAGCGCATGCCTGTAATTCTGGCTGCTCGGAAAGCTGAGGCGGAAGGATCGCCGGAGTCCAGCAGGTCAAGGCTGCGGTGGCCGGGAGCGGCCACTGCACTCCAGTCTGGGCGACAGAGTGAGACTCCAATTCAAAAAAAAAAAAAAAAAGAAAGCAGATTCTGGGCTGGGCTTGGTGGCTGAGCCTGTAATCCCAGCACTTTGGGAGGCTGAGGCGAGTGGATTGCCTGAGCCCACGGGTTCGAGACCCACCTGGGCAACGTGGTGAGACCTCATCTCTACAATCAATAAAAAAAATAGCCAGGCTTGGTAGCGCAAGCTTGTAGTTCCGGCTATTTGGAAGGCTGAGGCAGAAGGATTGCCGGAGCCCAGCAGGTCGAGGCTGCGGTGGCCGGGAGCGGTCACTACACTCCAGTGTGGGTGACAGAGTGAGTCTCCAACTAAAAAAAAGAAAAAAAAAAAAGACCAGATTCTGTCCAGGCACAGTGGCTCACGCTTGTAATCCCGGTACTTTTGGAGGTTGAGGCAAGAGAATTACCTGAGCCCACGGATTCGAGACCAGCCTGGGCAACTTGGCGAGACCTCATCTCTAGAATAAATTTAAAAAATAAGTTAGCCAGACATGGTGGCATGTGCCTGTAGTTTAGCTACTTGGAAGGGTGAGGCAGAAAGATCACCTGAGCCTAGCAGGCTGAGGTTGCGGTGGCTGTGAGCATGCCACTGCACTCCAGCCTAGGCAACAGTGAGATTCTGACCCAAAAAAAAAGAAAAGAAAAAAAAGAAAGCAGATTCTGGCCTGGCACCATGACTCCCACCTGTAATCCCAGCACTTAGGCAGGCCAAGGTAGGAGGATTGCTTGAGGCTGGGAGTTCAATTCAAGCCTAGACCACATAGCAAGACCCCATCTCTACCAAAAAAATTTTTTTTTTTTAGTTGGAGTCTCACTCTGTCACCTAGGCTGGAGTGCAGTGGCATGCTCACAGTCACCACAGCCTTGACCTTCCATCTCAGCCTTCCAAGTAGCTGGAACTACGTACAGGTGCATACCACCATGCTGGCTAATTTTTTGATTTGTCATAGAGACAATTTCTCACCAAGTTGTCCCGGCTGATCTCGAACCCCTGGGCTTAGGCAGTCCTCTCACCTCAGCCTCCCAAAGTGCTGGGATTACAGGCTTGAGCCACTGTGCCCGGCCATGTTTTTTATTTTTTTAATTAGCCATGCTGGCCATGATGCCTCACACCTGTAATCCCAGCATTTGGGAGGCTAAGACTAGAGAATTGCCTGAGCCCAGGGGTTCGAGACCAGCCTGGGCAGCTTAGTGAGACCTCATCTCTATAATAAATCAAAAAATTAGATGGACATGGTGGTACACACCTGTAGTCTCAGCTACTTGGGGGGCTGAGGCAGGAGGGTCACTTGAGCCTAAGAGTTTGAGACGGCAGTGAGCTATGATGACACCACTGCACTCTAGCCTGGGTGACAGAGCAAGTCCATGTTTCTTAAAAAAAAAGAAAAAAGCAAGTTTCCCAGGCCCCTTTCACTAGAATGCAGTTCAGCTTGCAGTGGGGTCTTAGCATCTTATTTTAAATATTTTAAATTTATATTTATATATTGGGGAAGAATATTGATTCCAACTTTTGTTTTGAAAGAAGTAATATAGTCACATGCTTCAAAATACAAAAGATGTTATAGCTTTGTCATGAAAGAACCCCTCTTGCTCTATGACCCAGGTCCCTAATTTATTCTTTTTTTCTCTCTAATTTTTAAATAAGGTTTTTGTAAAGGTGAGGTCTTACAATGTTGCCCAGGGTGGTCTCAAAACTCCTGACCTCAAATTATCCTGATGCCTCAGCCTCCCAGATTGCTGGGATTATAGGTTTGAGCCACTGTGTTAACCACATTTTATTCTTTTAGTCTATCAATATAACATCTTGTAACATTGTGATATCTTTTATTTTCTACTTTAAATCAGTACATGCAATTATATACAGATTCTTTATTTTATTTTATTTTATTTTTTTTGAGTTGGAGTCTCACTCTGTCACCCAGACTGGAGTGCAGTGGCCACTCCTGGCCACTGTAGCCTCAACCCACTGGACTCTGGCGATCCTTCCGCCTCAGCCTTCTGAGTAGCCGGAATTACAGGCTCGCGCTACCATGCCCGACTGATTTTTTGATTTATTGTAGAGATGAGGTCTCGCTGCCCAGGCGGGTCTCGAACCCACAGGCTCAGGCAATCCACTCACCTCAGCCTCCCAAAGTGCGGGATTACAGGCTGAGCCACCAAGCCCAGCTTATACAGATTCTTTATTTAATGTCTGTTTTTTTTCTTTTACAAAATGGTAGCTCATCCTCAGAATGCTAGCTTCCTGAAGGCAGGAATGCATGCCTGTTTTGTTTGAGGGTATATCCATAGTGTCTAACACATAGTAGATGCTCAACAAACATTTGTTGAATGAGAAGGTATTTTTATACATATTGCTTTTTTTTTTTTTTTTTTTTGCTTACATCAACACCTCAAAAGCTTCCTCAATCTTTTATTATTATTGTTATTATTTGTTTGCTTGTTTGTTTATTTTTG